ACAGTAATCCTTTGGTGTAACTAAAATTACGTTGGATTGGATTAGATTGGATTTATTCGGTGTAAACACCAAGGATAGCCCACAAAAGTCTAGAAGACTTATTTCTAGTGGGGTCCTTCTGGCGGTGATTGGGCAGTACACCGGGAGAAATCCCCTACTCTTTTCAGAAAAGTGTTCTGCGTTCTTTAACATGAACATGGGCATAAATGCACACGGAACCAACGGCTTAAATGTCTCATCTGAAAGACAGTGCGCTATTGCCACTTGTATTTCAGCCCTCCAGCTGAAACGCAAGAAGAGGCAGTGATGGGAATTGAACCGGGCACCTAGAGATCTCCACAGTGGCTACCACCAGATTAGCCGACTGAGCTACTGTAAGCTCCTCTCTCCATGTAATCCAGGCATGTAGACTAGGTCCATTAAAAATTGTTCAAATGTGAATTCATGGCAAAACAATATATACTTTTTATTCTGATTTTGATAATAATAATCATTATTATTAAATTATGGATAAAAATTTAATGAGATAAAAAATAACAACAAATGACGACATTTTTTAATTCCATCATCAAAAATAATAATTAAAAAACAAAAAATAGTAAAAAGAATTTAAAAATAGCTAATTCTCAATAAAATGTTTGATAGTGTCTTAAACAATGAATTTGAACATACACTTCTATAACAGTGGCACACGTCAAATGATGGTGCATTCAAAACAATAAATTTAAATTTACTAAACAAAAAATTTATGAATTGACCAAAAATGAATGAGATAAAAATCAATCAGAAATAAAATTCAAGAATGTAGTTATACATCCATTGTTATGCCTTAAATGAAGGTGTGAATGTACTGTATCTGATGTTGCTCAACTACTCTAATATAGTTAGTCTATTACATCATAATGGCAATACAAAATGTGTTATGTAACAGTTTCGGTTACTGCATACAGTACATCCATAAACATGGACTGTGAAATAATTAAAATAATGTTGAATATAAACATTTGATATAAAAATTGTCTTTGTCAGTTAATAAAATAACTAAAAGTAAAATATTGTTTAGAAATCTATTATATAGTCCTACCTCAACAGCTCCTAATATAAATGTCATATTCCTTGAAAATGAATTTATTATTAAATTATAATATTTATAATCATGGCTTGTTGTATTAAGTGCAGTCAAATCCAATTATGCAACAACTTGTTTTCTCAACTTATTAACCTTGGCTTTTACTACAAATTATCATTATTATTTGGGTCAGTTGTCAGATACAGAACCTCCCTGATTATTTGAAGGATTTCCAAAGCTTGTGTATACAGATGGCTAATAGTAATAATTGAACATTTATAATGTGCTATATTATACAGTATATCAAGGATGCTTAATATAGCTCATCTGGTTGACTGTAGAAAGGGTAATAATGAACATAATGTATGACCTTATTTAAGCAGCTTATGACCTACTTAAAATGGTACCATCCTTTCTTCATTCCCTACCCTATAATAATAATAATAATAATAATAATAATAATAATAATAATAATCTGCGATTTGTATAGTGTCTCCTGTTGTCGTCCCAACAACGAAAGAAAACGAACAAAAAAAAATTAAACCATAAACCTACACTCACAAAACACTTGAAGCCAGCCGAACTAAAAACAACATCGTACCATTTATTGGCAATTTAAGGCACAAAGTCTGCCGATCTATGACTCACAAGTGCTCAAATGTTGGCGGTGTCTAGCAAGACAGTCAATGGACCTCACCTAGAAGTTGTTTTACTTCATGCAAATTGGCTTAAAATTATGCTGAAGGAGTAAAATTATAAGCATAATTTAAAATTATAAGCCTAACAGAATCTTCCAAAGAAACAGGGTACAGTACAGTGCATACAGGTCAATGAGCATCTCTGATGAATACTGGCGCATTATACTGTAAATGTTCAATTATTATTCTTATTCTTATTCTTATTATTATTATTATTATTATTATTATTATTCTTATTATTATTATTATTCTTATTCTTATTATTATTATTATTATTATTATTATTATTATTATTATTGAAATCTACTGGCACCACCCTAGTATATCACTTTAATACTCAAAATTTGTGAAAAGACATGATTTTAGAAGGTTGTCACAAGTTAAATTACAATGCCAATGCTGGACTACTGTATCCAAAGAACAGTAGCTAGTTTTGAGTAATTTATACACATACCAGGTGGGAAAAACAGTCTTCAATGTCATGAGCTGTCCAAGAAATGCCAACCATGAGTTCCTATGTACAGTTCAAAAATAGACTAATAGAAAACAATGAACACCAACCATTTATTGATGTACAGGTGGACAGATGATCAAGAGGGCTGGATAAAAGGATGACTACATGGCCAGAAATCAGAAGCATTGTGACCCCAGAGGCATTTAAAAAATGTTATAATAATTTTTAATAATAAAAATAATAATAAATTTATTCTTATATAGCGTAAAATGCAAGAAACCTCTAAGCGCTTTACAATGAAGGGAAAAACCAGATCAAAATAAAAGAAAAATGATTACAACAGTGAGGGAAATCAGGTTTACATTATGAATGAATATTTATTTATTTATTTTATTAATTAATTTATTTATGTTATTTTATTTATTTATTTTTTAATGTATTATTTATTTGCTTTTTTAGCACGTGCTGGAGGCAATTTAAAGATAATTTTCATTGTCGTACAAAATTGCTTATATCCAGCCTACAGTTTTAATTTTTATGATTATTTATCTAAAATCGTTCCCAATTATCCCAAGATGCTATACATGCCTTCACTTGGGGTGACGGTCCCAGCCTTGCTTTGCTTGCAAACCCACCCCGACCACTACTGAAAATTCTGCCTACAGGTCTGCTGTGCTGTCTAAGTCATGCCGCCTACCATACTGCCATACTGTTGCAGTGGCATGTTGTTGATTATAGACCAAGATTTCTACTAAGCCTTTGACTCTTAAGCCTGTCTGTGCCGTGCATACCGCCCACCATTACGGTGCGGATGTAGTGACGTGTGGCTGGTGATAGACCAGGTTTACAAGTCTTTTAATCTGAGAACTCATTGTCATTTTACTTGTGTACATAGACTTGACACGCGAATATAATCAGTTTGTGTACTTTGATCGGTGCATATTTGTACAGCATAATGATATTATATATGCCGACTTCAATGAGAAACACACCTATATTTAAAATTCAATGGTTATTTGATAATAATTCCATCTACGGCAGTTAACAATGCAAATACACACAATAAAAAGAAACATATTACACTCACAATATTATTCAACCCATAATCGGGAGGGAGGGGGGAAGAGAGTTGTAAGTTGTTAAACTACCGTAGAAACAACTCACTAATCATTAACAACTGTAGCTATTGTATATACTTTTATCTTTTTTTGTATAATATTGCACACATATTTTAATGATATTCCAAAAGATCTTCTGAAATATAAATTTGAGAGGTTTTAATTGTTTTTAATATATTGACTCCTAGATCTGATTTTGTATTAAAGCCCTGGACTAGAAAATTATTACAAATTAATTTTTCATCCACTGCCATTTAATTATTAATAATTAAACGCCATAATCTAGTCTATCGACACTTGCAGTTTGCTGTATAGTGTGACTGATGAATAATACAATAAAGATATATAACAAGATGCAACATTTATGAAGCAATTTAACAAGGTGAAGGATAAATGAACTCAAAATCATAATTTCATAATTTAAAACATATTTAACACTTGTAATTAATATGATCATTGAGATATTGCACGATTTTTACTTCACTGCGCTTTTTGTTTTATTTTTCATTAAGCTCTCTCAATATTTCTGTATGAATTTCTTAGTCTGCATATTAAGTACTAATAACATGCAAGATTATAGATGCTAAATTAAATATACTGAACAAAATTATAATTATTTAAATAATAGTTCAGTTTTTTTACATGATCTTAAAATGCAACTGATTGAACACATTGGACGATAATGTGATGTTGGACTCTTTTGTCGCCCAACATCACTTTGGCCTTTGAAATAAAAATATTAATTAAAACAAAAGTATTTGTGATTATATTTACCATCCTACTAGGACATCTTTCCCCCCTATAACCACTACCAAAGGTGTTATTCTGGGATTTTTGCCCTAGGTGGCCCCCATGGTTCAGACCCCTGCTGGACTTGTTGGACCACCTTTTGGGAAATATCTGGAGTACCATTGCAGACAACCAAAGACCAATTAGCTTTTTATCTACAGTAGTACACCATAATCTCTAAGCCCTCAATAGCTCAAACATGATTAGGATACTGGAAAGTGGAAGCTGGAAGCAAAACATAATGCCACTAATTTTCCATGAATCAATTCAGCCTAGGTGTAATTTTATCAATATGGTACCAATCTACTTACAGATACATATAAGTCAACCAAGTGGATAATTATACAGTGCCTGTTGCTATGGAAATGAAATTAGCAGTATAAGCATCTTATTTAATTATTTCTCAAATTATCAATTCCTTAAGTATTCTAAAAAAAAAAGTTATTTTATGACAGTTTCGCACCGATAAACCTGCGATTATTCCTTAGTGTTGATTTAAATTCATAATCTGACATTTGATAAGGTCGTTCAAAATAATTTTACGGTCCGGTCTTCAACGATGAAAGGTGAACATAAAAACAATCAACAAGATGAGGATACAATCTGCCTAAATAAGCCTACCTAAGGCTTACACATAACACTAATAATAATATGTACGCACAAAACAGCATCATTTATTCATAATGAGGTTCCTCCTCATTAATATTAACATATTTTTTTTTTCACTGGCTGAATAATTCCCCATCCTAATAATACAGTATACTTAGAATATTTTATAAGCAAGCTTATTACTCATCTATTCCAGAATCAAAATTTACATAGGTAGATGGAAATTACTACAGCCAAGAAAATCACAATGAATAACTACTTACCAGATGACTTCTAAATCATAGAAAATATCCTTTAAAAAATCATCTAATTTGAAAGATCCTACAGACAAAAATGCTCTTTTCATATGCACATTGGAAGTGAGATGAGTGTAACATAAATTCCAGCATGCAGTGTTGCTAGCTTTTCCAACTGTGTTTGACAAGCCTGTGGTTAATCATCTCCTCTGTGTGAGCTTACCTATACAATTACTAAACACACGAGGGCGGTAGAGATATTTACACATCTGTACAAAATTAAGTGGGAGTGTTATAACAGTTGCACAATGTTAAAATCTACTACACAAATTTCCATTGGTCAATTATATTTGGTGTTTATATTGAGATCTAGATTGCCAGTTTTTCACGGATTTTAAAATGACCAGTATGAAGAATTTCTATATCAGAGTTCGTTCAAAGTTTCCATTATTTTACTAATTTCTATATTTGCTTAGATTTTGTACTCTTAAACTTTAACAGACTGTAAAAATTGTTTACTTTAGTGTGACTTCACCTGAAATGGACCAAAGTACATGTTGGCTTTATGACTCACTGTTACAATTATTAAAAGGATTGTGGTTTGAAATTCAAACTTAACGAACAATCAACATTGGATTCCCAGTCTTATTCATGTTAATGACTGGATATAAAATAACATGAATTGATTAGGAAATTCAGAATTTTTTTATGGCCAGGAAGTGTGTTGTGTTTGTATTCTCTAAATAATTTATGGTTATTGACTTCCTAGATGGAGTACAGTATTATTTATTCTACTGCCAGACGTTTTCTTTGAGTGCTTTATAACTGTAATCGATCAATTACTCACCAGAAAAAAAAATATGTATGATGAAATATCTTCACAGACAAAGTAAAAAACAACCACATAATCTTTTCAATTGAAGAAAATCTTGGCCATTCACTGAAAAAAAACAACAAAAAAAAACAAGAAAAGATGGAAGTAATGACATGTAAAATATTGAATTTTAAAGCCATTTCATTTCATATATACAGTGCAGCACCACACAGTTGAACTACTGTACGGTACAACATTTATGGACATGTACAGGTACACAGAATCTCCCTCACCCTCAATATGAAGGTTACTCGAGGAGCCAAACAACAGACTCCAATTAAAACCGATCTTGTGGCTGTACCAAAGGTAGGCTTAGCAAGGGGCTTAATGGCTTTTAGCACCCAGTCTAGCTTGAAATTCCGGCTAAAATCGTGCATAAAATCATGGCACTTTGACAAAGGATGGGCCAGCCAGGGACTTTAACTTCCAATTTCACCCCGGTTATTTCCCACACTTGTGCTACTGAGTCCTCAGAAATATATCCCATAAATGCTGCAACTTCCCCCATAATTGCCACACTTGTGCTACCAAGTCCTCAAATATATACCCCGTAAATGCGGCACCTCCCTGTATAGAAATATTTAAAAGTGAGCCCCCAAGACTCAGGAACAATACCTTTCAGCCAACCGCACTTTATGAAACAATTTGTTACGATACTTGCTATAATAATTCATATTTAAATATAATTATATTCACTATTGTTAAATAAGCATGAGTGCTTTCTTAAAAATAAAGCTAAAATTAATGGCAATTTTTATTTATTTTTTAAATCATTCAATTATGAAACTTCAGTCTATTAATGGACACAAAACATTCTTGCCCTATATCTGACATCACCCTCAATCAATCAATTTAATCTAAATAATTAGTGAGTTACATGTAAATTAGACATTGACCTTGGCATGACAAAGTCAATTACAAAGTCAACTAATGTTTGAACTCCTTAATTCAAACTAGGATGAGTACTGTACTTGTTTTAGTGCCTCGCACCATCACGTAATACTTGCACAATTATTCTTCTTTTAATTAATATATTTTTATTCTTTTTTTTAACGTTTTTATTTATTTAAAAATATATTAGACATATTGATACAAAACCAGATGGAACTATTGAATCTTTTTTTTTTAATGTTTTAAATTTTGTGTGTGATGATAATTTACTGATGTTAGTACAGTAGAACCTCGATTTTACGTACGGTACGGGACCGGAGGGCGTACGTAAATCGAGGGATTCGTAAAATAGAGGTTGGGTTAAATTTATGGTAACCCTTGACCTAATATGTACGTAACGCTCAATAAACGTATGAACGAACGATGTTACCTAGGCTAGACCTAGCCTCTACTGTAGGCCTACGAATAAAACCATGTGTTTAGTGTTTTTATTCATCAATTTACAATGTCATATTATAAAGTGTTCAAATAAAAACCATGTGTCTAGTTGTATTAATTCATCACCTTATATCTTTTATTTAACTAAAGAATATGAAAATATTATAAGATTACCTATACGACAAAGGTATAACTTGGGAGTTCCCCTTCATGCCTATTCTAAACAACAGAGCTGTGGTGTTGTCTAGGCCTGTTGAGACAAACTAAAACCAATTAGCATTCGTGTACGTGAAACAGCAACCATGTGTTATGCACTGGGCGAGCCAACCAATTAGCGTTCGTGTACGAAACTATGTCTAGTCACCTTCGTGTAGAAAATTCGACCAGACGATTTTGCCACACAAAGCTAAGGAGGAAAGCAATTATTTTGAGCACCATCGGTAGTTGTTCATCTCACTCAGTTCACGTGGTTTTAGATTATAACAACCCAACAACCCGATATTAGACTCAATCTGCGTTGCTGTTTAATGAAAATACGTTGCATTATGGTTTGTTTATTGTTATAGTTTATTGTTATAGTCTTTTTACTTATGGTTGCTCTGAAAAGGGCTGTTTGTTTTGAATATTTTCGGGGTTTTTTTTATAACGTCATCGTCGATACGAGGCGTACATAAAACCGAGGGTTCGTATAACTGGGGTACGTAAAAACGATGTTCTACTGTACAATACTTCTTAGTCCAATAAGTAGTAGAAGAGCACCACTTATCATATGGCAAGACTTTTTTAATACCCTGTTTCGCAAACATTTCAAAGATCGTCAGAGGACGGCAGAACAAAAATAAAAATAAAATTTTGTTTTCTTATTATAGCAAATATTTCTTCCAAAAACACTCAGATGGAGGAAAAAATAAAAATGAAAATGTTAATGGTGAATATAAACAGTGTAGTAATGGGATGGCTAAATACTTTAAATGAGATTCAGGAAGAAATATACATATTATCATATTTTGGGAGATTTCAAGGCCATGACGGGCATAATAAAAATAAAGAAAAACTTTTTTATACAAATTTACATTTTTTGTGGTGTCGGGTGCCCTAATTAGCCAAGAAATCTGAAAGTTGAAAATGATGTCTACAAGAAGTAAATATAAACAATGAAATTCTAACCACAACCCAATCAAAATAGGATTATGAAAAAATACCTACCGTATTTTATAGGTAGAATATTTACCGGTTGTACATATATATACTGTATGTTACATGTTATGCTATCATAATTTGCAATGCACTATTAAAATTACATAGATATTTTTTTGAATTTCTTTTGATAATTATTTATAATTGATTGTTATTGATTCTATTGTTATTTTCTAAATGTATATATATATACATACTCGCCACTGAGGAAGGACTAGTGTTGTCCGAAAGCTCTGGTTCTATTTCTGGCTGTTTACTTACGTTTACTTTTTAGCTGTTGCTTATCATTTTTGTATCTCTACTG